AGTTTTCTTTTGTCTTTCTCTCTTTCTCGCTTTATACAAACACAGATTATACAATTGATCTTTTGTATATGTATACCAAAAGCAGATTATACAACTGCTTTATTTTGTATATGTATATCAAAATTATACAACTACTTTCTTTTGTATAAATATACATATTTATGTTTGCTATGGAGCGCAATTATGCAAACTATAGTTATAGCATACATATATGATTTTTGTGTTTGCTATATGTGAAAGTTGTTCTATTATTAATCATAGATGATTGCTTGAAGGAATTGTTAGGCTATTCAGGAACTCAACTGAGAATACAATTTTAACATATCATCAGACAATAATATGACATGTTTGATTTTCGGTAATGCTATAATACTTCCACAGTAATATTAAAAAGGGAGGAATAAGTTATTACAAATTGAATCTCTATTTGATCAAAAGTGGTATAGCGCTATATTTACAATTTAAATACAACTTCTCAATAGCATAAGTAATAAATCATCGCTAGCAATAACATACAGATGATACAATACAAATTGAGCTGTTCAATTTTAATACAAGCAACTTATATGATGTTTAAAATATCTCTATTTTCATAACGTCTTTGCAGGTATAATCTCGATGTTTGTCCTCATGGCAAGAGCGAAAAAACATATAGCAGATCCTCTAATAACTCTACTGGATACCTTGAGATACATATTAAAAAAAAAAGTAATGACATACAATAATAGTAACGATAATAAAAATATAATTGTACAATCATGATGCGTGTGGATGATCAAGAATATAATAATATTCTTTCACGATCCGAAACCAACAATTCTATTTAATAAGTAAAATATCCTATCATCACAAAAATGCAGTTGTGCTCAGTTGTTCTATTTTATAAAACACTCAAATTAAAAGGATCAGCAAGCTTCTTTCCTAGTCATTGTTTCAGAAAATTAGTACCAGCTCTGCATGCACTTGAAACCACAAAATGCAATCAAATAGGAAGCTGCTCTACCAAAATAGGCATTCAAGAATCAAATGCAAATTTATCTTACAAAAACTAAGCCAATCAAACAGGACACTGCTCAAGTAAATTTAGTATTCAAGATACATATCATATGTAAACATGACTAATACTCTTAAATTTAGAAAGTAGTCAAATTCACAAGCTCGCATTGGTAAAAGAGATTACATTAGCGTTAAGAAGTTCCACATCGGTAAAGTGATGGGAAATTTGTCTCCTTATATGGATTTGAAAAAACCTTCGCTAATGAGTTAGCTTTTGAGGTTAAGTTAGCCCAGGTGTCATATCTTCATAATTAGTAGCTTTGCAGTATTCACTGTCCATTTATGCACTCACTAATGATTATCTCAAACAAAAGCAACATTAAAAACAGTTCCATTAAAATTAAAGGAGTTGAACTGAAATTTCATTCACCAGATTACTCGAAGATATCTTGTAAATCCTCAAAAAAAATCAAATTCAGAAAATAACAACTTTAAAAACTTAAATTTTCAAGTACAATCATTTTTCAGAGCTAAATGGGAGAGTCCTTTAAGATATTTTAAACTATTGGATGAAATTATTGTTGTAGTTTAATTTTGTCGACTATTGGATTGAAATATTGTTGTAATTTAATTTAGTCCCAAAATAGATAGGGATTTTCAATTATTGTTGTAATTTAATTTTGTCTGACTATTGGATGAAATATTGTTGTAATTTAATTTAGTCCCAAAATAGATAGGGATTTTCAAAAAAAAAAAAGAGTTGCACATATGTGTTCCATGGAAAAACAAACACATATCCCTAATTTTAGAATTTTTCAATCAATAAAACAAATACTTCGCAAAACTTATCTCAAATATAGCTAATTTAATTACCTCTAAATGATGTATAAGGAAAAAAAGTTGTATTTAGAAGAAAAATCTGGATAAACTAACTTCTAATCGAGAAAGAAATACATGTGGTGACTGACTTGTGCGAAGGAGTGACAAGTTATGAAATCTGTGCCCCAAATATGAAGAGAAATCCCAAAAACTAAAGATAAAATATCAGACGCAGAAAAAACAGAGAAGAGCACAACAATCTTCTCTGCAATTGTTTTGTTATTAAACAGAGGATATAGAGAGCAACATAGTAGCAGAGGAGAGATAAAGGAATTGCTATTACCTATCTATTTATGTGATATTATGAAATTGGAGAAGCTATTGAAATTTTTATACGATTTTAAAAATATTTTAAATTGTTAGTTATTATGATTTATAGTACTTTACATAATTTTGAAAATAATATGTATTATTCTCTTTGTTCTGATTTATGTGGCACATGTAGGATTTCAAAAATTAACCATTTTTTATATGTCTCTTAAATATATTAAGTTGTTAATTATTGTATTTTATAGTACATTTTTAACTACATTTTTAAATAATATATGTTACTTCCCATGTCCCAATTTATGTAGCATTAATAGATAGATTTTTTGGAGTCTTGAGTGATATTTTTTGTTAATTATTGTATTCGTCAATTTCAAACAATATATGTTTATCATCTAATCCATTTTATGTGGTGCCAATAAAATTTAGAGAGTCAATCAAACTTTTTATATAACTTTTAAATATTTAAGCTGTTAATTATCGTAATTTATAGTATTACTTATATTATTTTAAAATATATTTTATTTAATATTATATGTTACTCTTTTTATCCTAATTTATATGGTATTGATAGAATTTAAAGTGTTAAATAATTATTAATTATTGTGATATATAGTACGTACTTTTATGTAGTTATATATATACATACTAAATTGTTAATTATTTTTATATCCACTTTATTTTTATTTTTTAAATATGTAATCAACTAAAAAAGGTGAGACATGATAATTAAAATAAAGAAATACACAATAGTATTAGTGAGGTGAGATGATAAAGTTGGTGGGGCCCACTTAAATGAATAAAGATGTATATATGTGTCATTATGGAGATGTTGACTGGTTTTTTTGTCTAAAGAAGAAAAGGTACAACTATAAAGCACTGCCATACAAGAGTTTTAAGGAGCAAAGATAGCAAATACCGTAATTCTAAACATTAATTGCAAGGGGCAATGACCAAATTGCACTTGAGCTTTTCTAAATATGGCAAAAAACAGCCACGTTGAAAGTTTGAAAACTCTCCCTTCTATATAATAGAAATATATTATAGATAAAGGGGTTCAAAATCTGAAAAAAATAGACACACGAAATAGCCGAAAAGGATTCGACCTCTAGTATATATACCTAAAAAATTATTTTAACAATGTATAAATTATATAATTTTCCGTCGAAGGGGGTGAACCCCCTAATAGTGGTGACTCCGCCACTGTTAATAACATGTTATTGTTATGAAAACAATGTTGTCATGACAGGCTTAAAATTATAAGTTTAAAGGTTACTTTTAATAACTATATCAAGTCATGATCAACACCATCATCTATAAGATATAAAATGGGTTAAATATGATTACTAAGTTGTGGTTCTAGAAATGAGATAATATCTAATAAGAAATTCACTTAATTATATTTTATAATCTTAAAGTCCTTTGATTCTTAAATATTCTTCTCACAAAAAGACCTTCCATTTTTTCCACGTCCTTTTAATAACACCGGGAATAAACAATTATATCGATAAGACGAGAGGGAGTTGCTCGAATGGTAAGCACCCCTCACTTTCAACCCAAAGGTTGCGAGTTCGAGTTATCAAGGGAGCAAAAGGGGTGGGAGCTCCTAGGGAGAGAGAAAAAAAGGGGAAAAGGGTCTGAAAATTATTTCAACTTTGGCTGAAATTGTTGTTACGACACCAAATTTTATAGAAGACCTTCTACCCCCCTACACTACTTAATAGTGTATTTTAAAGGTATATATGTGCCCACGTGGATACATTACTATTTAAAATGATGCAATATTTATGATGTCCACGTAAACACATATATACCTTTAAAATACACTATTAAATAGTACAAGGGGGAAATGTACTACTAAATAGTACAGGGGGTAAAATGTCCTTTTCAAAGTTTGATATCATAACAGAAATTTCGGCCAAAGTTAAATTATTTTTCAGACTCTTTTACAAAAAAAAATATCGATCACGTTTTGACAAAGCACGAATCCCACGTTACTTTCAGTAAACGAATATTCTGAGGATATTCTTATACTATATTCTTAATGAAAAACTCATTTTTTCCAAACTTTCGTAAATTATATTAGAATGTGGTATTTTATATATAGAAACACAAAATTATGGTGTTTTTTGGGCATTAATTTTTGTTTTACTTTTTTTTTTTGGAGTTGAACTCAAAAAATCATATCCAACTATAAAATTCTGAAATTCAATTAGAGTTTTCAAGATTTTGAAAAATAACTAAAAAGATAGTTTCATTTTTACGAGTTAATATCTCAAAAGGTCACTGAGAATTTATCTAACAAAGTCATTAAACTTTGTTTTGTATCAATAAAATCACTCAACTTAGACATTTATATCAATAAAATCACTCACCTAAATTTATTATTAAAATAATTAAATTTGGCATGATAAAATAAATTATTTTATTATATCATGTTCATTATTAAAATAATACGTACATAAACCAGAACTCTTATTATTAAAATAAATTATTTTTATCACATATTCATTATTAAAATAATAAAGAAATGGCTCAACTCTACATATTTTTAATCGCTCTACAACTCTCATTTCTAAGATTAAAAATTAAAACCCCACCACCTCAACTTTGTTTGTTTCCATTTTTATTTTTTTTAATTATACCTATTATATTACTACTTATGCATTTTATATGTTTTTTTTATCTGCATTCTGCACCGACGTCAAACTGCCGTAGGGATTATTTCATTTTTCTGTTTGCGTTTTCTCATATATGCAAATGAAAAAAATAACTACTGCAATAACAATCCACATGCATAGTTGTGGTTTCAACTTTCATGTGAGTTTTGACTGAAAACCTCAATGTGTAAATTAGTGAGGTTCGGGATAAATTTCGATTGATCCTCAATGTGAACGTTGGAATCGATGGTTTTTTATTATTTTAATAATGAATGTGACATAAAAAAATAATTTATTTTGTCATGTTAAATTGATTTAAATAATAAAATTTAGTTAAGTGATTTTATCGATACAAATATCAAAGTTGAGTGATTTTATTGATACAAATAATTAAGTTGAGTGATTTTATTGATACAAAACAAAATTTAATTACTTTACAAAATAATTTCTCAAAGTTGAGTGACATTTTAAGATATTAACTCCATTTTTACACTTCAAATTACTCACAAAAAAGATCAAAAACAACTTCAATTTGTATTCATGATCAAACACAACTTTAGTTTTCAACTATCATTTTCGCTTTGAAAACAAAAATGATTTTTATCAAATTTCACAATTATGATCAAACACCGGTAATTTTCCATAGTTAGTAAAAGGGGACCAGAGTATTAAACAAGTCACGAATAGGTGTACGAGAATGCACTCGGGGTTATTTGATAGTTGATTAGATAGTGAATTATTTAAGTATTAGAATTAACATAATTAGTATTATATTTAAATAATTACTATATATAAGATTTAGAACATCAAGTATCATGTTTGGTTACGATTTATAGTAATCTCTAATAATTAAGTAAAATATGTACTCCCCATCTCATTTACATGATATCATTCGATTAACATAAAATTAAAAAATAATTAAAATTTATGATCTAAAACACTCATAGACCATTTGAGTGACCATAAATTATTTTTTATAAGAATAAAAATTAAATTATTTTCAATTATAAAAAAGTAGGAGTACCATGTTTTTGGACATGAATAATAAAATAATTATTTGCATGACTTTAAGCAATAAGGTCCCCTGATGTGAGTGGTCCAGGCTATTAACAACTCAGCTTCCTACCTCTTTCCGCCACACCACACTTTGTGTTTTTTCCCTTATAAAAGGTCTCTATCGTTTCTGCATTTTAATTCACATACACAAACTAACTAGGTTGGTTTTTTGGTATACTAAAAGTTGAGTTTAGCAGATATGAAATTGGAGATGAGTTTTTCGAAAATCTATGGGAATTGGTGGATTGGAAAGCTTTTATTTTCTTCTGATTAGCTTTCCAATTCCACCCATTCCTATGGTTTTTCGGTATCCTCTCCCTTTTCTCCTGCTATCGATCAGGATAGCGGCAGAAAATTATATTATAATTTTTTATGTGTATATAGCAGATGTTGAACTACTTTTGGCTGCTTCGTGTGTCTATTTCTACAGATTTTGAATCATTTATTGAAAATTCAGGCTCCGCCACTGCTATATCATCAGTGAATCTGATGTGAAGTTTCAAAATATTTACGTATTATTCTGCAGCTGTTTTCGATTGAGATCTGAATGGATGGATGCAGCTAAATCAGGCGTCTATTGATACTGTCATTTTTCTCTCTATGATATGATGATCTTTTTGTGAAATTAAAGATCTCTCAAAAAAACAAAAAATGATCTAAGTAAATTGATTAGGAAAAGAATGTTTTTATTTTCAATTGAACATAGTTATCTTATAAATGGATTTTTAAGACCTCACATCACAACGTTCCTTCTATATGAAAAATGGATACTCAATACTTAAATTTAGCAAGTGATAGTGTGAGAGTTTGACCAGCAATAGTAATTAACATTCTCCTAATGGGATTATAAATATGCAAAAGATATGTTCAATATTAAATGAGATTTTTCCTAATACAAAGTTCTATAAGCTGTTAGTATTAGAATTACTAACAGCTTATAATTAACTAATATAAAGTTCGATGTTTAATTCCCCAATTGCGAAGGAAAGTGGAGATAAACATTGACTTAACCTAGGAAATGAATGATTAAGATTTGCATATCTTTTGGTTATCTGCCAAATGATACGCTTTGGATAAATAATTTAAAACGATGATAACTAAATAACAACGAGGTAATATTTTTTTTTTTGTTGGGCCCATATTTTGTTGTATCCATTGGCAATACTATTTTTCCTTTTGAACAATTGGACCATTTTGGCCTTGTACACTTTTTGTTTCGACATGGGAGAGACCATCTTATTTATTTGCGTTTAATAAATAATTGAATTGTTGAATCTACGATTCATGGAGCGACTATCTCAAAAATGTTCTTAACCTAATGTCATCCTTTCACTTACTGGTTTAAAAATGTCTTTAACATTCTCTTTAGATTTAAAAATGTTCATTAGTTAACAGAAATATGACATGAAATTTAATTTAACAAGTGGCCATTTTATATTGGTCTAACATAATTTTTTTATCCGATTAAAAGATCTGACCCAACCCAATCCCCAAACCCATTTCATTGATGATTGAAGCCTTCTCTCTGTTCTTTCTTCCTCTGTTTTTTTCTTCAAAAATAGTACTCTAGCTTTCAATAAAAAAAATAACAGCTAAATTGCAGCATTTCATGTCATATTTTTGTTAAATAATGAACATTTTATTAACCTAAAGAAAATGTTAAGGGCATTTTAAAATCAATAGATGGAAGGAGAGTTTTTCTGAACTATTTCTAATAGGTTATGGACATTTTTTAACCTTTTCCCCTTTTTATATTATTAGAATAGAAAAAATAAAATGCTTAAGTTTTATTTGTGTACATGTTGAATTTTAGTAGGCGTTTTGGACGTAAAAATTTTGAAAAAAAAATCAATACTTATTTTCAAATTGAAAATGGTATTTAAAAATTAAATTTATATGTTTAGATGTGAAACCAATTTGGATTACTTTTAATTTTTTGTATATTTTGGAGTTAAAATTGTGAAAACAACTTTTTGAAAATTTTAAGTTCGAAAAATTGTAACAATTCTCTGTTCAAATGGGCACTAAATAATCATTCAATTGAGCGTATTTATTTTTAAGTCTGAATTTTAATTAATCAGATTTCAATAAGTAAATGTATTATGTTAAATTTTATAACTACTTAATGAGTTTTAATAAATTTAAATGTTTAAATTTATGACAAAATTTTAATATTATTAAGATACTATTCATTTGAGAATTTCTACAAAACAGACATTTAATCCTATTTTATTCACTTTCGTCCCTTATCACCATCATTATTACATGAAATATAGCCACACATTACAACTTGTTTTAAATCATAAATTTTAAAAGACCTTTTATCTTCATTGAACTTTATATACGGTCAAAATGCATTACATAATTTAAGAACGGAGCTTAAATCCTCTAACTCTTAGCTCTTCAAGCGGGATCTCTTCTCGACTTTAGCCTATCGTGACATTTGATTTATAAATATACAAATGATTGAGGAGTGTTTTAGATCATAATTTTTTTGAAAATTCTTAAATTTTGTGTCAAGTCAAAGAGTGTCACATAAATTAGGACGGATAGAGTATTATATGCAGTGGCGGACCTAGGATTTTCGTTCAGGGGGTTCGAAAAATAAAAGTATAAGCGTGTATATATAAGCCAACAAAACAAAATCTCAAGAAAGTAGTAGTATTTAGTTTTAGTGGCGGACCCTTGAATTTTTTTTTGGATTTTAAAACCACACTTTTAGCATGTTTTATAAAATAAAAAACTAAAAAAAACGTCAAAAACGGAACTGAAACCTTAAAAAAAATAAAAATAACTGAAACTGAAAAAGAAAAAAATAAAACACTAATGCAGGGATTCGAACCCTTGACGTAAGGCTTAATTTTCAGGGAACTTGCCACTAGGCTATCTCTTTCTCCTTGTCATTGAGGGGGTTCAAAATATATATATCCACATAAATACAGAAAATTACCTTATATATACAGTGTAATTTTTTGCCGAGGGGGTTCGGGTGAACCCCCTGGAACCAACGTGGGTCCGCCCCTGATTATATGAACTTAGTACCGAGTCTGATGATTTGCTCTGTACAATCAAATTAACAAATTATTATGAAGGATTTGTGACGAACTTTGATGCTCTTTAAATTGTTTTAGAAGCGTCATAAATTGCTTAATCCTCTAATTCTTAGCTCTTCAAGGGTGATCTCTTCATCTTCTCAACACTGCTGGCTCTTGGAATTGTTCAAGTGCAATGTCTTGACTTCTATTATGAGTTATAGGAGTTTATTATGAAAAAATGTCATAACTGTTCCCTGAACTATTAAAGTAAGTTTAAAATAGTCCATTAATTTATTTTATATATATCAGATTTACATCTTTAACTATTCAAAATGTTATCAAGTTTGATCCTTTTACAAGACTTTTTCTAAAGGAGAAAAAAAGACCAACTCGTTGTACTTCATTTGAACAATGTAATGAACATTATTACTGCCTCCATTTTAGTTTGTTTGTCTTGTTTTAATTTAGTACGGAGTTTATGAAAACAATGAATACTTTTAATCTCGTAATCTTTTAAACATGTCATATGAAAAGTTGAAAGGTCAAAGAAAAAAAAGACGCATTCTTTTGAAAATGACTAAAAAAAAGAGTGATAAACAAACTGAAGAAATAATTTCTTTCAAGGCATATATACTTTCAATTGTTGGTTTTTTTAATAAAGAAATTAAGAAAATAATTTAAGAGAAAAAATACTACAGTATTATCAAAGGGAATTATTTTATTAATAATCCAGAGTCTTGCATTTATAGATATAATTCCTAACTAAAAATAGAAAAATAAAATACTAACTTATCAGTTTAATTCAAATAACAAATAAAAAAAATTAACAATTAAATATAAGTCAAATAAAACTCTAATAAGTCTTCCCGGCAAGTCAAAGTCAACTCCTTAATAGTTGTTTGACAGTTGTATGTAGAGACTTTTTCTAGGAAGCTGCCTTTCTTCCATACTTCTGCACATTCTACTTCCTATTTTTCTTCTTATTGTTATTATTATTATTAGCATTTTTTAAATAGATATGAGCAATTATATTGCATCTCAAACTACATTAAATATATTGATGGAAGCTCTGCGATGAGATATTCTGGTGTGAAGACCGTTTAGCTCTTCTATATTATTGAGAAATTTAACATAATTTCTATAACGTGATCCAACTCCAACATGTCTATGAACTCATATACCATAGTGTTTCTACTTTTTGTGCTATGTTCTGGTGCAGGTAATTACGTTGCTACAAATTAAAAAAAGTGTTTAGTGCTTTTATTGCATTCATATTTCTAAAATTTGACTTTTTTGGAATTTTAATTGCAGCTGCCTATGACGCATTGGATCCAAATGGAAATATAACAATCAAATGGGATGTGATGTCTTGGACCCCTGATGGTTATGTGGTATTATATTTGAACTATTATTACTATTTAATTAGCAGTTTGAGATCTTTAGTTCATGAATTTTTTGAATTTCAGGCAGTAGTGACAATGAACAATTTCCAAATGTATCGTCCAATAACGAGCCCTGGATGGACATTAGGATGGACGTGGGCGAAGAATGAGGTGATTTGGTCCGTGTTTGGAGCAAAAGCTAATGAAAAAGGAAATTGTTCAATGTTTAGAGGCAATATTCCTCACAGTTGTAAGAGAAATCCTGCAATTGTTGACTTGCTGCCAAATGCCCCTTATAACCAGCAAATTGCTAACTGCTGTAAGGGCGGCGTTTTAGAATCGATGGGAAAAGACCCTTCTGCTGCTCTCTCTGCATTTCAGATAGTTGTAGGCGCTGCTGGGACTACAAACAAAACAGTGAAACTTCCTAAAAAATTCACTTTCATCTCTCCTCCAGGTGGTGGCTATACTTGTGGTCCTGCTAAAATCATCCGTCCCACTCGTTTCGTAACAGCTGACGGTCGAAGAATGACACAGGCTATGAGTAAGTCTTTTAACCATACATTAAAAGTAAATACTGTTTGCATTAGCCTGAATCTTTCTGCTTAATATGCAGTGACATGGAGAGTGGTTTGCACTTACTCTCAGTTCTTAGCATCCCCGAAACCGACATGTTGTGTCTCCTTGTCTTCTTTTCACAATGCAAGTATCACCCCTTGTCCTTCGTGTTCTTGTGGCTGCCGTAACAGTAGCAACTGCGTCACGTAAGATTTTAGCTATAAAAGCTTTGAACAATTCTCCTTGACAGATCATAACTGACAAGTGTAATTGCAGCAAGGGAGTAAAGAAGCCAGTGCTGCAATGCACAAAACACATGTGCCCTGTCAATGTGCATTGGCATGTTAAATCAAACTACAACAAGTATTGGAGTGTGAAGATGACCATCACAAACTTCAACTACCGATTCAACTATACAAAATGGACACTCGTCGTTCAACATCCAAACCTCAACAAAGCGACTCAAGTTTCCAGCTTTTTATACAAGCCTCTCATGCCCAATTTATCAACCAGTAAGATCCAAGTCCCTCTATTTGATTCATAAACAGAACGGACATATACTCGATCATTAGACCGTTCATCAATCATCAGGCTGATGATATTTTAACTATGCAGATGATACAGCCTTGTTTTATGGGAGAAAGTCATATAATGATGTCCTGATGCAAGCTGGACCAAAAGGAAATGTCCACTCAGATCTAACACTTCAGAAGGACAGAAAAACACTTGCACTGAAGAAAGGTTGGGCTTTCCCTCGAAGGGTCTACTTCAACGGCAATCCTTGTGTGATGCCATCTCCTGAATCTTACCCATATCTTCCAAATTCTGCCGGCACCAGATAAAGAGCATTGTCCAACTCTGGTTGTTCTGTTTCTCTTGGTATTCCTAGCTGATGGTTGTAACTAGTGAAAAATATTCACTCTTCAAGAACAAAAATGTACCATTGAGTATTACAATGCACTTGACAATATCCAAAACTAGTCAAGTCTTTTATGAAAAATAAGGTTCTTAACCAGCTCACACTTAAATTATCCAATTTCTTATAGATATTCAGTGAGTGCTATAAGAAGTTACTCGACCTGGTCTGACTAAACAAGACGGCTCATCTTGAAAGACTAGTCTTGAATTAGTTCTGTTAGAGCAAATTAGTTTAAAGTAGCACAACTCTGAAGATGGTGAGTCGGTGTCATTCAAATTGTTAGCACATCCTTTGTTCACTTATGTAACAATGATAAAATCTCACTTGAAACACAACTACCCTGCTATTAACAATGTAGTATAAGAAATGATCTCAAAAAGATAAAATTAAGTTAAAAGGGAAGACATCCTTTAACTACTGTTATCGATAATGATTGCTTAATATTCACATCAAATTAGGATATTTTTCACTGTTAGGGGTGAAATTTTTGCTATAAATAATCAAGAACAATTATGACTTAACATCTACTACAAAGGGACAGTTTTGTCAACAGTGTACTCACTAATCAGAACTGATAATATATCCCACCTAAGAAATGACTGCTTAGCTATTGTGTTCAAATGTCCCATTTTTCTCCCCCTTTCTCAACTTGATGGCCCTTTGAAAGATACCAAAATAGGTGAGAGAGAATTATAGAGTGGAAGTGAAAAAATGATATTATGGCATAAACCATCCAACAACCATTAGGTGTGGCATCATCATGATCAGCTAAAATTAAAAATTCCCCCTCTTTTAATACTCCTAAGTTCATTCTTTTAGAAAAAAAAACATAAGATCCTTAAACATCAAGATATACTATTACTAAGGATGTTTCAGAAAAGATTATCTTTTAAGGGAAAAGATTACTCTCAGCAATGCCAATTCTTATTTCCTCTAGCAAAGTTAACTTTTTTCGCAGTTGTCTTGTCTTCTGTCTTGCCTCATGCAGGTAAAGTACATGCTTATAGATAAGAATTTGTATATTTTTGTGTTCCCATTATATATTATTTTGCTCTTCCTTTTGGACCTTCAGATGCATTTGATCCATTGGATCCATTTGGTAATATCACAATAAAATGGGATGTCATGTCTTGGGCACCAGATGGTTATGTGGTAAGTATCTTCATAACACTGACTGGCGCGAATGATTATATGAGTAGTAACAACCTGAAATATTTATCCAGGCTGTTGTAACAATGAATAATTTTCAAATGTATCGGCATATTATGAGCCCTGGATGGACTTTAGGATGGAACTGGCCAAAGAAAGAAGTGATATGGTCCATTGTGGGATCACAAACAACAGAGCAAGGTGACTGTTCTAAGTTTAAAGGAAATGTACCTCATTGCTGCAAGAGGGATCCTGTACTGGTGGACTTGCTTCCCGGAGTTCCTTACAACCAACAGTTCAGCAACTGCTGTAAAGGTGGTGTTCTCGCATCTTGGGGCGAAGATCCTTCTGAGTCGGTATCTTCCTTTCAGATTAGTGTTGGACTTGCTGGAACATCAAACAAGACAGTAAAACTACCCAAGAATTTCACTCTGCTTGGTCCAGGACCAGGCTACACTTGTGGCCCTGCAAAGATAGTTCCATCCACAGTTTTCCTCACTGCAGATCATAGGCGAAAAACTCAAGCATTGAGTAAGTTACCCTTTTCTGCTTCTATTTTTTCCTCTGTTTATCGGTAATTCAGTAACCAATCAGGTTGATGTAATAATTACTTGCAGTGACATGGAATGTGACATGCACCTATTCACAGTTTCTGTCATCCAAGTACCCGAGTTGTTGTGTTTCTTTCTCAACTTTCTACAACGACACCATCACTCCTTGCCCATCTTGTGCTTGTGGTTGCAATCATAAACACAACTGCATCATGTAGGTATCCTTTGCATACATCGAGCTTTTCCATCAACATTTGCTAATTACTCTACTGGGGATTTTGATGATGCAGGGGAGACTCAGAAAAACTGAAAAGAAAGGGAATTAACACTCCAAGAAAGGATAATGAACCATTACTGCAATGCACCCATCACATGTGCCCAATACGCGTGCATTGGCATGTTAAGCTCAATTACAAGGATTATTGGCGAGTCAAGATTGCTATCACTAACTTCAATTACAGACAGAACCATTCACATTGGACACTTGTGGCACAACATCCTAATCTCAACAATGTCACTCAAGTTTTCAGCTTCGACTACAAGCCTCTCGTGCCCTACCAATCCATTAGTGAGTGCATACAAATGTGAATTTTCCTTTTCTCAAGCTTGAACAGAACTTAAAAATCATTTGTTTCTATACAGATGACACTGGCATGTTCTATGGTATGAAATTTTACAATGATCTCTTGATGGAAGCTGGACCTTCGGGGAATGTTCAGTCTGAGGTGCTTATGCAAAAGGATAAGAATACATTCACACTGAAGTCAGGATGGGGATTTCCCCGGAGAGTCTACTTTAATGGAGATGAATGCAAACTTCCACCTCCGGATTCATACCCAATTTTGCCCAACTCTGCTGAAAAAAGACCATTTTCATTTTCAAACACTGCGATTTGCACTATTTTGATGATTTTCCTCACTTGGTAATGGATAAAACCAAGTGAAGACCAAAAGAGACAGGCTTATGACTAAACACTACCCGGAACGATGGCAGCAACACATATTCTACTGGTGCTTCTCATGACATTTAGATTGTGTTCCATCAACATGAGCTTGCTAGGTTGTTATATATTGTATGCATGCAGAGAGAATAGTGAAATGGAACCTTGTGCATTTTATTGTATAACTAGAGATAACATTTTCCTTATATATAAGATTTTTGTTATATATATATCTGAAGTTCTCTGAACATCACTCAATAGTGTACATCAAAATTCTCATAGTCTAGTGCACCAACACACCAATACAATGTATATGTTGAACCTCGAGTAATCGAACTGGAACACACCAAGTCAATGGTTACATCTACAAAATCACAAGTAAACCTTCACATTTTGGAACCTCAGGATGAAGTTGCAGAAGTGATGCTTTTAAATTTTACTGAAGATATTTCATGTTAATATAAACAAGGCAAGGAAATTCTCTTCATTGGAAGCAATTAAACTCTTCAATTGTATATCTTTCTTTTAACTTTACAAGTTATGTGAATATAATAGAACAAGAGATACCAAAATTGCCACCAACGAGTGCAGTAGAGTAAGCCTACTGTAGGCACTAGCATTTGGTAGGTATGGATAAGCATCGGGAGGTGGCATAACACAGTTATCGCCATTAAAGTAAACCTTTCGAGGGAAAGCCCATCCCTTTTCAAAGGTAAACTTCAATTTATCTTTCTGAAGTATGATCTCTGATTGCACATTTCCAGAAGGTCCACCCTGCATTAGTTGATCATTGTAATATTGGATTCCCCAAAACATAGCAGTATCATCTGAAGAAGATGAAATCAGTTAGAAAGCTCAAATGTATACGAAAGTTGTATTTCGTTGTCAAGGGAAAAGAGTACTCACTAATGGAACCATATGGGAGCAGCGGCTCATAATTAAAGCTGAATATCTGCGTGAGATTCTCAAAGCTGGGGTGTTGAACAACAAGATTCCACTGGGAATAGTTCATTTTGTAGTTAAAATTTGTAATTGTAATTTTTACCCTCCAGTAAGCTTTATAGTTGGTCTTAATATGCCAATGAACTCTAATCGGACACATATGTTTAGTACATCGGACCACAGGACTGTCATCATCTTTTCCGGAACTTAGAAGTGTTGAGGCTAAATAAGGAGAGTCCGGCCTGTCAGAGAACATAAAATAAACATCAAATGAATATTAAGAACTTCCCGAAACTTAAACAAAAAAGAAAGGGAGAATATGAGATTAAAGATAGTGTCTGCTCACTCTACACATGTTCCCGGCTGTGTTATGTTATTTTGGCAACCACATGTGCAAGTCGGACAGTTTATAATTGTGTTGTTGTAGAAAGAGGACAGTGAGACACAACAAGTCGGTGTCCTCTGAGCTAAGAACTGTGAATACGTGCAAATAACATTCCATGTCACTGCAAGGAAAAAGATACAATTAATATGATTACACCTTTAACTTTATTAGTATAGACTCGGAAAATTTCATGATCAAAGAGGTATGCATCATTTACGGATGTATCATGTCACTAATGTCTTGAGAAAGTAAAGGAACATAACTTACTCAAAGCTTGAGTGAACCTCCTTCCATCTGGTGTTAGAAACTTGGTTGGTTTCCCCTTCATTGCAGGTCCACATGTATATCCATGTCCCGGTGCTTTGAGGGTGAAGTTTTTTGGCAACCTTACTGTCTTGTTACTTGTTCCTGCTTGACCGACAGTTATTTGGAATGCGCTAACAGCTTTCTCTGGGTCTTGAACCCACGAGCTAATCACTCCGCCTCTGCAGCAATTTGAAACTTGTTGGTTATACGGAGTTCCTGGCAACAAGTCGACAATGAATGGGTCTCTTTTGCAGCAATGAGGGATGCTTCCTTTGAATTTCGAACAATCTCCTTGCTCTGTGGCTTGACCACCAGCTGCACTCCAAATTATTTCTTTTTTTGCCCATGTCCAACCTAGTTGCCATCCTGGTGCTTGAATGTGACGATACTTTTGGAAGTTATATATTGTAACAATAGCCTGCTTAATTCAAAGGAAAAAATAATCCTTTTTTGGTCAAACACAACTGTGAGATAAACTGATTGTTATTTTAACTGACAACTAATATTCCTACCAAAAAAAATAAAATTGAACTTCCACTTTACTCTAATTCAAATAGATAAGGAAATGATGCAAACTCAAAGAACATTTCAATAGTATAATAAGAGCAAATACACTCACAATATATCCATCTGGAGTCCAAGATTTAATATCCCACTTGACAGTAATATTTCCATTGGGATCAAGTGAATCATAAGCATCTGCAACAATTTGCAGCAAACAGTAAACTACTTTAATCGAAACAAAAATTACTAGTAGTAATAGTTTAATCTCTCGTATACAAAATGTGTTCTTCGTAGAGACAAATAAAATTCTTAGAACTCGTCCTCATGACTGAGCCAACAACAATAAGTAATCTGAACTAACTCATCAACCTGACCAACAATTTAAACACATCGAAATCGAAATCCTTGACAAATTCAAAATAAAATGAAGGATAAACCACAAAAGAGCAAAAAGGGAAAAAAAATAAAGCCATTTTATAAAATGGTCAAAATGTTAGCACAATCAACGTGTAGGACATTCTTATTCCATCAATAAAGAAACCACGCTCAAAAACTCGAATATCCATACTATCTTTGACCAAAAATTTACTCAAACCATACAAAAAAAAAAAAACTTATTTTTTCAAGATTATCATAATATAATCCCTTTCTGTAATCTTGACTCTGTTCTTTCCGATTCAATCAAACAGTTCTATTAGTAATGTTACATTTTGAAGCAAAACCCAAAATATTCATTTCTATATCCAAAATCAGCTAAACTTGCTTGTCACAATTGAACGATAAAAACAAAAAAAAAAAGATTCATTTTTAAAAAGAACAACACTTGAGTAGCTAGATAATAAATAGTAAATGAGACGATGACAAAAGTGAAAAAACACGTTGGGCATTCACTCACCTGTAGATGTAAAGCACATAAGAGAAAACAACAAAGCTATCAAAATTGCATAACTTCCAAATTTATTGATTGATGATCTTGAGATGGAACAGAGACAAACCTCCATTGATGAGTAAATAATTTTTTTTTTAAATTGTGTTTTTTTATTTTTTGAAAACTTGGGAAGGGTGAGCAATAGTACTATTTTTGTGTTGTGTTGGGAATGGACATATATATAGAAAAAGAAGAAGGAATTTAGAATGTATAGTGACAAAGGAGTTTTACCTTTTTTGTGATGTTTTTCATATGGACTACTAATGTTTTTCAAATGGGGGAGGGAAGAGCAGGGGAGGGGTGAAACAGACTTTATAGAGCCAACTGTCACCAGATGGTCACCTCTTATTAATTATAACATTAAGCTTCGTTTGGTATCTGAATAAGAAATAAGTTACTCATATATTAATTTTCACCATGATGTTATTGACAATTTAGAAACTCGCATAACTAATAAGTACATGTATAAGTTATGAGAGAATCTATGTATTATTTTATTCAGGATAGAATGTGGAATAACTATTAGTTGCATAAAATAATTCATAGATTCACTCATAATTAATCATTATATTACTAATATCCGCATAACTCTAGTCAGAAACGAGTTAAGTTGGATAAGGAATAATTAACTTTAGGATATTAGCTTATCCCTTCTTTAGTTACTAAGAAAATTATGAGATAACTTATCTCGAAAATAATTATCTCAGAATTGTATATTATTTTTATTTTATATTAAAAATAGAAAATTAATTTTGAGATAACTAATTTTGAAGTAATTTATTAATTCTATAATCAAACGATCCCCAAGTATATATGGTAGCTTCCAAGGCAATTTTCAGCGTTTTCCATTAGTAAAAGTAATAAATGTCTTACTTATTAAATTTAGCTAGTATCAATTTGAAATCTCATTTTGCTCAATAAAATAGGTGATATAAAGTCAAATCTTAATAAAAATATTAAATATATTTAATAAAAAATGTTTTTTTAGTGCTTCACGATCATAAAAATACTAAAAATAAAAAATGTGTTTTTTTAGTGCTTCACGCGCATGTGTTGTAATTCATATGAGTAGTAAAAAAAAATACATGAATGAAATTTATATGTTACTCTTTTCGTCCCATATCAATTGTTGATATTATTTGACCCTAAATTTTCAAATATTTTCATGGCTATCATTTTTATGTGAAGATTTGAATGAAGTGTTATTGTGCGTTTAACCATAAATTTGGGGGAAAATATTTGACTATTTTAAAAAATATGACTTATACACATAGGTTCTAAAAATTATGAAAAATACTTTTAAGTTTGTATTGTCATTTTATGATAAACATGCTCCGTTAAAAAATAACCTTATAACATATTTGATGACAATCAACAACAACGAAATAATAATATGGGCAAAGGCAATACCTCAATCGCATATTCAAACTTGTCACTGATTCAAGATGAATTATAATGCATTAAAAACAATTATTCTTTTTTTGGACACGATCTGTATAAATAACAACGATGAATAGCTATTAGTTATTAGTGGAGTAATTTGGTAGATAAATATTAGTTGGAATTAATTAATGATGATTAATTTTTATAAAATATAGACTTGGGGTAATTTTTTAAAATTTCCAAATATTAGAATTTGACCTAAATACTCATTTTTCCTAGTAATTGGAAACTTGAGATATTTGGCAAATATATTTGCCAAATAATAACAACTTGTATGGCCAAACACCATTTCTCAAGTTTTTCCCAAAAATATTTGGGTCAAACGGGTACTAAATATATGTCCCAAAATGCTTGTTTATTTACAAAATGAAGGTAGAATTATTTTAACTTTTCTCGTTTGCTCATAATATTAATTATGTTTTGAAGTAAATAATATTAAAAAGAAATTAAGGGTAAATTATTATTTTTTTTAAAACTTCTGGAAATGTGACAACTAAGAGTCAGAGAGGGTAGATGATTTCCCCTATATATGCATATGATTAATGAGTAATTAGCATCCAAAATGGGTTTAATTAGGGTTATACACAGCCTAAAAGTGGATAACTGTTGAAATTTTATTTCTTTCTGTTTTAGTTCTTCATACTTACTTGACCTGGAATGTTAATTCACAGGCCCTCGTGACTTTTCTGGGCTTAGAAAGGCAAAAACAATTCATTAAAAAGTGAACTTTAGAAAAAATTATTTGAGGTTGTCAATTTTGTTTCTTTATAAGGAATTCTGATCAAATTGAAAATTGTATGTATCTAGAAACGATTAATATATAGTATATAGTGTTACATCATATAACAATGTTTTGACCTTCCAAAAAATAAAATAGTAGCAAAATTAGTATAAGAATTGGCTTCTCAACAAACTCTATGGTTTGTTAATAATTAATCTATTTAAAAGAGGCACATCTTCTTCTTCCTTTTTTGTAACTAAAAGAGAGACACTTGATACAATTTTTTGTACATTATTCCATTTTGGGATGGAGGAAACTCTATCTCCTCTTTTAAACGTGAAAAATTGTTTGTGATATGGATGTAGTTTGTGAAGATATTTGGGATTATATCTGCATATCTAGAGTATGGTGTGCTTGTAGAAAAGGTTTAATGTTGAACAAAGATCCAACTATAATTATCATTTAAGAAGTTTATACTAGTGAGTCGTTTGGTTGGAAACAAGTTATCCCAGGATTAGTGATAGGATTAGCCATCCTGGGATAACTTATCCCACCATGTATATGTGATAACTTATTCCATCACTATTGTAGAAATAGTGGGATAAGTTATCCCAATCATGGCAACCAAATAAGATAACAATTTTTTTATCTCATCACTATTTATTTTTATCCATCGTATCAAACGACTCTTAATGTATTGTTTAGTCGTGGGACTCGTGGCAATTATCATTATTCATACTTGATCAAGTCGCGGCTAGTTAAAGGTGATCATTATATTTATTTATCATATATAGAGATGTTAATAAACTTTAATGGTACTTTGGCACATCTTTCTTCTACTATTTAATTAAAAAAATATCGTTGAAATTTGAGAAAAACTTCCATTGAGACGACACTTGGCACAATCTGAAATGCAAGAAAATGTCTTGTTACGATATATAATTGCAAGCCGTCTATATATATCATATAAGGCCAATCACAGTTAATAAGTAAGTTTACAGTGGCACCATTTTTTGTGTTATGGTTGTTGTTACTATAAGTTGTTGACAAGATGCATAAAGAATGGTAGTACAAAGTACAAACCACAAAATCCAGTTTGAGATGAATCAGTTGCATCTCAGCTTCAATAGCATGTTGCCTCTAGCAGAAGAGCACAAACTAGGCAAGCCTCATTTGAGAAACCGAGTTATCGGTCATAAAGAACACCATAGAATATTACAGCCAAGTTCAGTACATCACTCCACACAACCACAACCAAGCAGAAATGGAAGTTATGCTTAAAGTTGCAATATTGTGATCACACTAGATCGAAAATGCACATAGTAAACATTTTGTTATACTCAAATCTTGTATTTGAGTCATTACTCAGATTCTTCTACCATATAAGAGTCTGTCCACAATAATCTGCCAAGCATAATCACTATACTCAACCACATCATGTAGAATGGTTTACCATTTTCATCCGTTCAGCCTCATTGTTCACTTCTTTTCCAGTTAAGGTAATCCGTTTACATGTGAAGATGACTACTAACTGATGTATTTCGATTTTGACTCCACATGTCTACTTTGTAAGGGTAAATTCTGCTAATGTAACAAAACAAAATGTCTATGATACTAGGAAAACCTCAGCCTTGTTGATTGGCAGGGATATAGAGTAATCTTATATAGCAAGAACACATGACCTAAGTTTTCAATAGAGTTAGCAAATACAGAGAATATTATGCAAATCATCAGTTCCCTCTTCCAAAGTACTTACTGATTTGCAGATAACACTTTTCAAGTACCTCAGACAGAAAGAATTCTAAGTCTTTGGTGGAACTCCTGCTTTCGTAATAAGAATCTAATTCAACCCAGCACATTCACAAGTCTTGTCCAAAGATGAAGCACCACGAGGGACATCTGGGATTTGAGTTTTGCATCAGAGTAGTAAATTAACAATTCTAATTGACAGCATAGAGAAGAGAGTTACTGCGCAAGATATGCTAGAAGAAACAGCTTTTAGACTAGAGGGCACAGCGGGGGTGAGGAGTTCAACAATCTATTTTGAATGTCCTGTACTCCTGTTCTTGCATCCAACTCAAATAAACCAATACAATATATGTGTGCATACACAGACAAATGCACAATTAATTCAACAAGGACTGCCAATTAATCTAGTCACAAGTTATATAGATTTATCCGTCAAACGAGAACCCATACAACTCAAGTTCATCCAAAGTATATAAGAATGTTACTATATGTTAAGGAGAGATAATGGCAAGTTTGTTCTGTAGGCATCATTATGTAGTAGCAAGAATAGACACATTCAGAATTTATAATTCTAAATCAATTCATGAGATACAAAAATATAAATTCATTCACGAGTTACAAATTTAAAGATCAACAAAAAATAAAGGAGAGAGCATTGTTGTAAACCAAAATTTTATTTCTAGTATTGTCAAGACTTATCAAAATGAGGGGAGAAACACTGTCAGCGTACCACTGGAAAATCTCGCTCAAAATCATCCAATACAGAAGGGATCAAAATGCTCGGCGGGCCATCTTTTTAGGTTTCTTCACATAACTAAGGCGAATTTTCTTAAGTTTTGTCCTCTTTCTAGCCATTTTCTCTGGAAACGTTTCCCTCTTCTTTTCCTTCTTGGCAGGGGCGGATTTCTTCTTTGCATATTTTGGGTGCACCATATAGGCCTTTGGTTCAACTGCCAATTCATTGCTCTCAGCTTCCTTATATAGTGCATTTGCTTTGTCAACCCGATTATGAGCAACCATTTTTCCTATCAACAAGTCGTATGTCTTTAACCCCGGTTTGCAACCATCCTCCTTCATCTTTGCAAAGACACTCATAGCATGATCCAGTCTTTCAATCCCACATAATATTTTCAAGAATTCATAATAGGCCTTCTTATCAA